TATTTAATTCCCGAGGGTGTAATTTATCATGTAATTTTACATCCCACAAATATTAAAGTTTATATCTGAACCCTAAAAAAAAAATTAGAAATGTTTTTTATATATTTTGGTCAAATCCTAATGGATAATCATAAACTAGTTTATGATATTCAATTTGCATTTAAAATGTGAAAAAGATATAATTTTTATTTTTATAAAGATATTGTGTGGGAAGGATCTTGTCTTCATCGAAAAATAAATTTCAGCACTTGATTTAGTTAGGAAGAATCTCAATCATTAGCTTAAAATAAATATAGTGTACTCTCAAGTGTGCAACTATATGCTGGTTGAGTTGACCATTCTAATCTCTATAGTAATTCGGCTGTCTGACTTGGCTGCTCTAATCTTCAAAATTGGATTATGAAATTTGTCAAGCCATTTGATTTTTTTCCCTTATATACAGCATTTGCATGTTCTTTATTGTTGAGTTCTCGAAAATAGTTTCTGTAATTGACATCTTTATTCATTTAAGCCCTGTCCTTATTCATTCAATATGTATATATACGTGTGTGTGTGTGTGTGTGAATTAGCTACTCAAAAGACAGATATCAAATGAGATGAAGAGATATATGTGGCTATGTGCTTTTTGATAGCTATGTTTTGATAATGTGAGGCTGAGGATTATAAATATCGATGCAAAAATACCTATAATACCCTCTAATGAATTCAACTTCATTGGATTAATGTATAAATTTTGAAGTCTGAATACGGTTAACAGATTCCTTTTAATTAAATTAAGTGATATCAGCTATATTAATTATGTCCAACGCCAGATGAGAAATGTTGATTAGTCAAAAAGAGAACCTGATTTGAGGAGGAAAAAAATCAACTGCAAATTCTCGCATGCATTTTTACATCCATTTATTTACTGAAATATATTTTTTTTAGAAAATATTTTTTTTAAAAATAAATTCCTGAAAAATAAATTATTTTTTAATATTTAGTAATATTATAAAAAATAAATTACAAAATATTTTACAGTATTTGATTATGTCATGAAAAATAAACTGAAAAATAATTTTTTAATAATTTTTTTTTGAAGTTTATCTAATATATGAAAAATATTTAATTATTTACAATAAAAGAGTAAAATCTAAAAAATGTAATGATAATTTTTTTTATTATATTCTATTTTCATATATAGCTTATTTTATAAAATATAACTATATATGTCATATAATATTATAGAGATATAACCTTGTGAAATATTTCTTAAGTAAAACCTATTAATATTTTTTTTATTTTGAAAATCTTAAAATATGTTTTTTTCATAAGAAGAAATCCAAATTAGTTTATGGTATTAAGTAAGAATTAGATATTTGAGTTTTTTTGGTGTAAAGATTTTTTTAAGATAAATAAATACAAAAATATTTTAATGGGTTTTTTAGATAAATATATTTTAACAAGTATGTGCAATTATCATTTTAATATCCCCTTAATATATATCAAATAAGCATTAAAAAATAAATATAAATATCATACATTAAACATAGTCATGCATAAATAAGTTTTGATATAATACAAATAAATATTAATTTAAATTAAAAAATATAAATATGCTAGACTGAATTAAACAAATAAGCATACTTGTCAAATAATAAACATAAACCTTTTTATCATAGTAAAATCATATTACCAATCAGGTTTGTAGCAGTGTTGGTTCACAAGATTCTAAACCCTGATTTTCTTTAAATTAGCATTTTTTGCCATAAATATTTTTGTCCATATTTTATATTGGACCAAGTGATCAAATGCATTCCCAAGAGTGATCTCATCAAATTCTTTAATTTTCATTACTTTTGTATATAGCTCATTAACATCAAGTTTAGAATATGTAATTTTTTAGTCTCTTGTATAACATTTTGAAAACAAAAGTAACTATAAAAATTACAAAGAGTATAATATTTATCATACCTTCACTTCTTCATCATATACATATTTTAAAACTGTAATCATATTCAAACAATTATCGTAACTAAAGTCACTTTTATTTTCAAGTTTGGTTATTATTTTCTATTTTGTTTTCATAGTTTTGAGATGATTTTCCATATGTTTAGACTCCTATTGCACGTTGAACTTTTGACTGATTTTTGTAGCCACCTTAACAAAAGATTATGCTCTAAAGGTGGAAGAATGTTTGTTTCCTTCAAATGCCTTCTCGACTAATATCTCAAGTAGCATGTGAGATATAGGCTTAGACCATGTGAAATGTTTGCCCTTGCATTTTTCATTCAATATGGTACTCATTTCTACAAAAAAAAAAATATAAATTTATACAAGATAAAATCATACAATATTTAGATTTAATAAATTTAATATAAAAACAACAAATAATAATTAAAAGAAAATACATAAAATACATAAGAAATTATAATAAAGTCAACAAACAATCCCAATATACAACAAAGATAATACAAACTCAAACAAGACATGATCAAAATAAACACATATAATTAACACTCAATTACTTGTTTCTTTGAGTGTTATAGTTATTTCATATAGTTGATGCAATCATTTCTCTTTTTGTTATCCACTTCCTATTCTATTCCCTCTCCTTTCATTGACTTAAGTTGATTATTCGTCTAATTGGTTCACTTTCCAAACATATTTTTTTCATAAGAAAATTATAAGAATCAATTCTCATTATATGATTATGAATAATACAACATGCAAGCACAACATCTACTTGTGTTTTATAAGACCTAAAAGATTTATCATCAATTGATCTAAAATGACTCTTCAAATTAACAAATCTTTGTTTAATAACAGTTTTCAATGAAGAGTGTTGAAGATTAAATAGCTTTTTTTTTTTTTCTGATGAATGTTCTATAAACTCATTTAAGTGATATTAAACTCCACAAAAAGGAGAAATGATTCCATTTTGAATACCGTAACCAACATCACCAAGATAATATTTCACTACAAATTAGAAAAGAAAAAACTATTACTATCTTTATCTAATTAAATATTTTATATGTTTATTGCATATAATAAATACTTTATTATATATATTCTGAAATTTTTAGAACATTGGATCTTGATAATGCATCACCTAAAACCTGTAAATCATGTGCTCTTCCTTCCGAGCCAGCTAAAACATATATAAATTTCAAATTAAAATTTATAGCTACTAAAACATTTTGTGTTGTTCCTTCTTTTCGACATCAAAAATTTCCTTAAATCTTATCAGGAATATTTGCAGGAACATGGGTACCATCAATTGCTCCCACATAATCTTATTTAAATATGAAAAAATAATTTATAACCTTTTCTTCTAGATGTACTTAAATAATGTATAAAAATATTAGTATTGTTCCCATATTTTAAAATAAGGATATAATTTTTTATTATTCATTATCTCAACCAGAACTATAATCTCTGGGTCTTTAATAAGGTATTTGTATAATTTAAAAGCTGCTTTTAAAACAATTCTAAAGTAACGATGGATAGGTTCAACAGACCTATAGTATATACTATTAATAAAATAAAATTTTTGGTTTTGACCTATAATTTGTAAGAACACAATTACTTGCTTTCTAAATAATACATTTTGAGTTAATTGTAATAAATCATAACTTGCGAGAACATCATATAAATTATATAAAACAACTGGTTTCATACAAACTTGTTCAGCACAATGTCTATTATCTCGATTCAAAATGATATTAATATAGAATTATCATTGGGCAACTGCATCTACGTATGGTTCTCTTGATATATAATTTCTATTTTTTTTATTCAATAATAGTTATGCCTCTAACTATCATATTTGTTTTTATATATTCTACATGAAATACATGAATCATTTTATTATTCATAATGAGAAAGTAAAGTTTTATAATAATAAAATCTAAAAGTTTGAAAAAAATATATTAAAAAAACATATACAATACTTACAACACCAATACAAGAAATTATACTAAAAGTAGCTAATAAGATATAATAGTTATGATAATAATATCTTATTCCCTAAACAAACAATCCCTTGAAGTATATTATTTTATAAATTCTGTAACTCATGTTTCCCTGTCTGAACAAATAATTCTATTGCAAGATTATAAACGTGTGTGGCTGTGAATTAGCCGCTTGAAGTACCAAAAATCAAATCAGATCAAGCGATATGGGGCCATGTCCATTTGACAGCTTTGCTTTGATAGTGAGAGGCTTGGAAATATCTATAATACCCTCCACGGACTTCAACTTCAATGGATTGATGCATAAATTTTGAAGTCCGAATTCATTACACAGTTCCTTTTAATGAGATCAAGCGGTATCAGCTACATTAATTATCCCCGACTCGAGCCCCGTCAAAGCCTTTTACGTGTCAGAAATGAGAACTGTTGATTAGTCAAAAAGAGAACCTGAGTAGAAAAATCACCCGCAAATTCTCGAACGCATTTTAGTAGAAACTAGTTAGGTCCCGTGCTATTGCGCAGGCAAATTCTTTTCTATTAAAAAATATTAAATATTAAAAGAATTAAGATTCAGGAGTTTCCGATTTGTCTGGTGAGGAACAAAATCCTTAGATTTAGCTGCAAGTGATATTTATAATATTAATTACCATAACAATAATAATAACTATAATATAATTAATAATGTTAAATACACTTGACTCAAATTTTATAGTTTTTAATTTTTTTTCAAATCAATCAAGTTTATAGTTTTTTTAATAGTAATTATTTTTCTTTCAAATTTAATAATAATAATAATAATAATTAATTTTATTTTTTAAATCAATTTTTTTTTATAATATTAGTAATATTTTTTAATTTTTTAATTATTATATTAATAATTTTTTAAATAATAATAATAATAATAATTTTAAATAATAATAGTAATAGTAAAAAAATTTCAAATAAATTTAAGTGAATCTTACTATAGCATCAAACCCAAAGCTAAAACAGCAGAAGACCAGTATATATACTTACTGTCAGATTTTGAATAAATTTAAATAAATCTTACTGTAACATCAAATCCAATAGCTAAAACAGCAGAAGATCAGTATATATACTTACTGTCAGATTTTGATTTCCAATTTTTCTATCGTTGAGAGCTAATTTTTTTATATACACTATATTCTTAAAGGTATCACTGTTATATTTTAATTGGCACCCAAAAATACCATAATGTTGAACACGGTCACTGGGTTGTGGCCACGGTGGTGGGATGCTAGCAACGAGAGACAAAAACTGTTTCTCATCATTGCAATCACCATAATAACAATGTTCTGGTTCTTTTGGAACAATATCAAACCAAAGAAGGCAGTCGCTGCTCCGTTTCCGCCAGGTCCTCGTGGTTTGCCATTAGTTGGATACCTTCCATTTCTTGGTAATGACCTCCACAAGAAGTTCACTGAACTAGCTGGGGTCTATGGCCCTATCTACAAGCTAAGGCTCGGAAACAAATTGTGCATGGTGGTTAGCTCCCCACCACTAGTCAAAGAAATTGTTCGTGATAAGGATACCATATTTGGTAATCGTGATCCACCTATTTCCGCCCGGGTGCTCTCATACGGCGGAAATGATATCGCTTGGTGCTCTTACGGTCCCCAGTGGAGAAAGATGCGCAAGGTTTTGGTGCGCGAAGTGCTAGGCAATAACCTAGATGCTTCCTATGCACTGAGAAAACAGGAGGTTAAAAAGGCTATTAGAGAAGTGTATGATAAAATTGGCAGCCCTATTGACTTTGGTGAAGTGGCATATGTAACAAGCCTAAATACTGTCCTGAGAATTTTGCTGGGGGGAGGCACAATCCAAGGAGAGAAATGGACTCATTTCGTTGCACAGTTTCGGTGTCATGCAGCAGAGATGATGGTGCTAATTGGAAAACCTAATGTTTCGGACCTTTTCCCCGTGCTGGCTAGGTATGACTTGCAAGGTATAGAGAGACGATCAAAGCGATTAGCAGTCACTTTCGATCAATTTCTTGATTCTGCAATTGAGCAACGTTTGAATGAAGAAAAGGCACACATGGATGTGAGAGAAGACTTCTTGCAGATTCTCTTGGATCTTAACAAGCATGAAGATGCTGCAACATCAATTACGATGGACCAACTCAAAGCCATGCTACTGGTATGACTACTTTAATTGTTTCTGTAAAGCAAACACTTAATTAAATTAAGTAAATCTATATAATCGGTGGAAAATAAAAATAAGCCGTGCTGGCTAGGTATGACTTGCATAATTGATGAAGTTGTTGAAAATAAAAATAAAAATAAGTAAATCTGTATAATTAGGGATGAGGAGTTGATATAATTGATGTAGTTATTAGCATAATTGATGGAGTTATTGGTATGATTGGTGTCATGATTTATAGCTTTTGTTCCATCACTCTTGTTTATAAATAGATAATGTTTTCAAGTTTATTTTGCACACCAAAATAGAAAGACTAAAATAGAGAGAAGAAAAGGAGAGTAAAGAAACTCATAAAATTATGAAATATTTGTGAGAGAATAAGTGAGATGTTTTCTCCTAATAATAAAGAGATTCTTAGTTATTTTCTTATTATTTGAGAGAAGTTGTAATTCTCACATTACTTAGTAAAATCTTTCTATATTTGCCTGTGAACATACCCTAATTTGATGAACAACGTAAATTTTTATGTGTCTCATTTTTTATTTTATCTTATTTCTTACTTATTATCTTCTTGGAGTTGCATGTACTATCCTAACATTTTCTTTTTTTTTTTATCTTCTTAAAAACAAATTCTTCTACTTTAATTTCAGTTCTTATTTATACTTTTAAAGCCAATGCAATGTATGTTTCTAGATCTTACTGGTAGATAAAACTAAAGTATCATTTCTGGGGAACATTGAGTCACGTGTGAATCTGTCTTGGAAACATATGGACCTACAAGCATTAGCAATGTCCAAGACCACCTTAACAAAGGGTGATTAGAAAGTTCAGACCGAGCAAAGCGTGCTTTTCCCAAAAAAAATTGATGTAGCTGCTGCCTAGCAAGTCTGCTGCTGATCAAAATCATGCATCTAGCTAGCATTAAAAATAATGTTATTTTTTATACACAGGATATTTTCGTGGGCGGCACTGACACAACTACTACCATGGTCGAATGGACAATGGCACGACTAATGCAACATCAAGAAGTAAGGCAAAAGGTATACCAAGAATTACAGGAAGTTGTTGGAGCGAACAACATTGTAGAAGAATTCCACTTGCCCAAGTTACGGTATTTGGATGCTGTGATGAAGGAGACATTTCGTTTGCATCCTGCACTGCCTCTCTTAGTGCCCCGTTTTTCAGGGCAATCATGCACGGTGGGAGGGTATACCGTTCCTAAGGGTACTACAGTTTTCTTGAATGTTTACGCTATTCACAGGGATCCTAATCTGTGGGACAATCCCTTGGAATTTAGACCAGAGAGGTTTTTGAATGATGAAACCAGCACATTTGATTACTCGGGCAACAACTTTCAGTATCTCCCATTTGGATCCGGAAGAAGGGTTTGTGCAGGACTCCGTTTAGCAGAGAAGATGCTGATGTATTTGCAGGCTTCATTGTTGCACTCCTTTGAGTGGAAGCTGCCAGTTGGAGGAGTGCTGGAACTATCTGATAAATATGGCATCGTTGTCAAGAAAAAGAAACCCTTAATAGTTATCCCAACACCTAGGCTATGTAATTTAGAGCTTTACTAGACGGTGGAAGGACCTGCAATCTACTTTTTTTTTTTTTTTAGATTAACGTGGGGT